GCCCAGTTCTCTCCCTCCAGCTGCTGGGTGGCCGGAGGGGGGGAGGGGGGAAAAGGGCCTCTCCTAGTCTTGCAGGCCCAACACTCCCCCCCCTCCCCAGGAAGGGGGGGAGGGCGAAGCCTGGCCATGCCCAGCTCTCCCCCACAGCTGCTAGGGGGTTTGGGCTGAGCAGAGGCCATGTGGCTCCGAGACCCCTCCACTCACCCTCTCAAGGGGGAGGCTGCATGGCTCCTGGTCTGCCTGTCCCACCCGCCTAGCTTCAGGAAGGCCACACAGCTGCCACCCCTAGCACCAAGGCGGCCTGGAGGAGGTGGGGTGGCTGAAGGGGGAGAGGCTGCAGGACACAGAGTGTGTGTGTGTGTGTACACACACACACACACACACACACACGTTACTTAATACTTTAAGTTAAAAGTAAAAAAATTAGAGGGGCTATGCACCTGTTGACAAAGGTTATGAAACAGAATGAATACAGAACCTGTAGATTTATTTTACTAAAGCGTCTCTAGTCAGTCTCTCAATATTTTAAATAAGGGAATCAGTGAAACCATGTAATCAGGCGTGGTTCTCTCCATTATGTTGCTTAAATGTCACACGCTGCATAAAATGTAATCCCAACAGGATGTAAAATGATAATGCAGTCAAGACTTACTGTCAGCTTGCTTAATGGAAAAGGTTTCCCATGCACTGAATTTGTGCTACTTTTGTGCAAATACGCCAGTTTAATATTGCTTAACGTGCTATTGAATGATAAATAAAATCTTACCAGTTTCCTGCTCCTAATAATCCTTAATGTCAATTATAGCCTGTAGCATATACTGATTTTCAGTCTTGAATTTGCAGCCTTTGAACAACTGTATATTAAATGTATGTTTTCATTCTAGGTATATGGATTTTTCAATGCATACAACAATGTGAAGCAGTGACATGGGCAGACTTGAGCGAGGCTTTTAATTTCAGCTTTAAAGAACTGAAAAAAACCCCATGCTTCTTCAGCAAATTGAGTCTACTTAAGGGAGATCAGAACACTTATTGGAAAAAAAAATATCACATTTACAGTAGAACCTCAAAGATAATCTCCACAACCAGAGTTATGGACTGGTCAACAGGAACCATGTGAAACCAGAAGAAACCAGACAGCATAAGTGGCCAAACAAAAAAAAAATTAACTACTGTATTATATCAGTATTACATGTAGGCATATTTGGGCTGCCTGCCCCCAATCTCACTTCAGGCAGCCACTTGCATTAAGATGCTGGGCTGCCAAAGCCAAGGCAGCCAGAGCTAGCAGAGCAGAGGGATGCACTGTTTTTACCCCCCACCCCCACCCCAAGAAGGGGAAATGCTGTTCTCACCCCACCGGGAGAACAAGCTTGCAAAATCATGCCAGCTCTGAGTAGGGAGCTCAGCTGCTGCTGAAGCCTGAGCTTGTGTCAGTTACTGAATCTGAAGCCCAAATTGTACTTTGTTTGTAATTCTGAACGTTTCAGATTTACGCACAACCTCTGTTCCTGAGATGTCTAATTCAGAGATTCTACTACAATGAAAAATACGATGGGTACTAATGTTGAAGTTAAGGGGGCTTCACAGTAATCTTGTTTATTTCACCCCCCCCCCCAAATCTAAATATATGGGAAAAAGTTGAGCCTGAGAAAATAGTGTGCCTACATACCAAACAATATGTTGGTTAACTTGAACTCTTCTTTAAAGGAATGATTATTGGAAATGAAAGTTGCCACATATTAGCATACAATGAAGAATCTGGATACACTCCCATGTGGAAGACTTAGAAACTTCCACTAACAAGAAGCTGACCACATACCTAACATTATCCAGCTGAAGTTGTACATCCATATGTCTCATAGAGAGTTGGCTCATTTCCTTATCTTGTTTCTCTCTGAAGGTGTTATACTCTATTTTTACAGCAGACAACTCCTTGTCTGCAGATTGCAGGACAATGCGTAAATCATGGACTTCACTTTTTAATACTGTCAAAAATATGCAGAAATGAATAAAGTTTTGTTAATATATAAACCTGCTCACCTGCAGAAGCAGTATCAAGGATGTTATTAAACTCTGAAAATTAAATAAAACTTCACACAATTCTCAGTAAAATGGCCATTTTCTCAAAAATCTGCAGGGGAAAATAACTTGAGAAAAAAAAGAAGCAAAGAAAGGTAAATAGAGTACTGATTTGTAGAAAAAGTGTACTCAGAATCAAAAGAGGCTAAGGGAGGAAACATGTAAATGTAACTCAGAATTGTAAACTAAATGCATGTTAATTTTATTGGCAGCATAATCTTGAGGATAGATTTAGAATTTATTTTTAAGTGTTCTCACATTTTATTTATTTTAAAATGTCAGCTTAAGTTAGTTTACATGTTTACTACACTTGAGTCTTAAAAATATTCTGAACCAACCATGTTGAGAAGTTTGGTGTAGTATGGAATGAGAAAAGTACCACTGCCTTGTATAATAGCTATATCAGGAAAACGGAGTACAAACATGACTATATTTCTAGTTGTCTAACCAATATATAAGAACTGGAAATGACAAAAATACATAGATATGCTAGTCGATGCCCTCAGAATATAATGCAGGCATTTTAGCAGACCAACACCAGTAGTAGTTAAGACAAGACTTTTTAAAAAAGTTAACATTATAAGACTGGAAAAAATAAGGAAGATAGGTTAAAAGCTGCTTCTGAATCTGGATTTGTGGCTTGGTAGAATGACTGTACTTTTTCCCTTTATTATTTTTACCTTCTAAACCATTTCATATTCACTTGAATGAATCATCTCCTTAAATGTCTATTATGGGAGATCCTGTGAAATCGAAGAGGTTGGAGATGATGATCTAGTGGCCTTTTCTGTCCTTAAACTCTAGACCAACTATGCAGGCTGATCAAGAATAGACAGGAAAAATTACTCAGGACAGAATTACATGTAACTAATGACCCAACCAAAACAGTTATTCAGCCATGTGTTGCAACAGCTTCAAAGCATGAAACCTCTTAAGAAATTCAAATAGCATTTCTGGGCTACATAGACTTACTATCAGTCTTGCTTTGAGTGTCTTGAAGTTGTACTTTGAGAAATTGTATCTGTCCAAGGAGTTCCTGCTTTTCTTTGTTCCAGTCACTTCTTTCTGAGGAGAAGAGCTTTAAAAGAGAAATAAAATATGAAAATGGAAGAGCAGTAGAGGGGTATTGTATATAAAACAGTTGAAATAATAGAAATATTCTGTGTTGTGTATTTTCTAATTCTGACTATATAAGATGCATTTCTCTGCTGGGAAAGTTATTTTGGATATTTATAATCAAACTAACCACTTTAATCCTGAACATTCAGATATGTTATGGTTGAGAATGGAGCTCAATAAATTGGGAGCTTGAAGTAACTGAGAAACAAATTAACCTAAAAAAGACCAATCAGTCTTGCTTTCAGTACTCTGCATGGGACAATTTAGAACTTATCTGCTCCTTGGCTGAAGTAGTGGAAGGATGAGGGAAGACTAATACTCCTGTCTGTCAATCTGATCTTCCCTTTGTCACACATCTTTACACCACAAAGAGAGCATATTATCTATTTTATGGCATTCCCCTACAATCTATTCCTTAATTTTACTGTGAGACCACCATCTATAAAAACCTGCCTGTCAACAAAAGTGAATCATATCTTAGTGGGATAATTTTTCACACCTATATTGCATATTTTGTCTCAAATGAACTTTATAAAAATTCTTCCCACACCTTTAATGAGGTTAGGAAGCTACGGGTGCATCTACACTGCAGGGCTTAACTTGAAATAAGCTATGCAAATTGAGCCACGTCAATTGCGTAGCTTATTTTGAAATAATTTATTTTGAAATAGGAAGCGTCTACACAGCACTTCTTTCAAAATAGAGCACTCTTCCTCCGACTTCTCTTATTCCTTGTACAACGAGGGTTACAGGAGTCGGAGTAAGAAGTACTGCAGCTTGACAATATTTTGACACTATTTTTAAATAACTGCCTGTTGTGTAGATGCGGACTAAGTTATTTCGGAATAGCGCTAGTTATTTTGAAATAGTGTTGCAGTGTAGACATATCTTGAGCGAAGTCACTTCGAGTCACAGAGGGGGTGATCTGTGTGGTATGTGTTAAACCATGCAGTGTGCATATACTGCAGAAAATGTTCTACACAACTTTTAGTTTTCATTAGTTAGGCCACGTAGATGCACAAATAGAAAAATAAAGAAAGGGGACCTGTAAACTTTATATTTAGTAATGATACTTTTGTTCATTCACAACTAAAATTAGTGTATTTTTAGCATTGCAAAAGTTTAGGGGAAATATTTTGTGATAAATGATAATTTACTAACATCACGAAATTGGGCAAAAAGCACCAACAGTAGGCATCTTGCCATTTATACCTTTACTCTATGATCAAGCAACTTCAAATATTTCAAAATAAGTTTTATAGAGAGCACTGATATAGATGTTCTCTAACTGGTCTTTCTGCTCAGTTCTCGTATTACAATTTTAGTAGTTTTGCCTCTTAAAAATCCAATAAACACTTTAAAACTCACTAAAGGGGGCCAGAAAATAGTTAAGAAATGTGATTGGTAATTCACACCACCTGTATAATCTCACAAAAATCTGATTTATGCAGCTGCCTCACCTCCTGCACTTGTGCAGAATGATGCTCCAGTTTATCAATATGCTGCTGAAGTTTTATGTTATTACTTTCTTCCTCATCTAACTTGATCTGAAGAGTGTTCAGTTGTTCCTGTAACATGGCAGATATGCATAATTAAACAGCTTCTTTTCCAGTTGTTTTCATATGGCATATGATCAGTTCTTCTGTGCACAAATAAAAAACCTTGACCATTTTAAGTCTTTATCATTTGAAACAAGGATACAGATGAATACTGGCTTATCAGTACACAGGCATAATCCCTTACTTTCAGTGAATTCCCAGATCTCTGGGAGATCCCTGAAAGTCAAATATAAACATGGGAGCCAGTCTACAAACACACACATTCTCAACTTTTAGTATATGTGTATAACTGTGATGGATCAGCCCTATCCATTTAAACTGCTCTTCAAAATAGACAAAAATGAATTAGAGATTTCTGGGAAGTTCTGAGAGTTCTATGGAATGTTTAAAGAGTAGTCCAGGGAGGAGTTCTGTTGTTATAGATAAGTTTTCCTATTAATGAAAGTTAGAGTCACATTACCAAGATTAGTTCAAATTCTTTGTTGCACTCTATGGCAAAAGTGCCTCATCAGGAAGTTTTAAAAAAGGATAAAAACTGAGGTTTCACACACAGCTTTTAGATGGGTTCTCAAAATACTTCAGTTTCTTCTAGCTTTGAACTAAACCAGCGTTTTGAACGGTGGTGGCATCTCTGCCTGAATCTCCGCATGATTGAACGGTTTGGTTTGAGTAATTAGGTTTAAATGCCTGGGAGTGTGCCATTTCTGCTAACTCAAGTCTTGTCATAAATGCATAAAAGAAAGAAAAAAATGCAGAACAAGTATGAATTAAAATAACCAACTCTTAGTAGAATTTACACTAGAAATGCTAGAGGTGCTTAAGTATAGTATAACATGCTATTAGGCATCACAATTTGCTAAAATATGTATTAAGCATTTACTTTTGTTTCATAAGTGAATTGTTAAAATAAAACCAAAGTTATTTTCAATGAAAACAAATTACATAATAGTAATAGAGATGTAGCCATGTTAGTCTGGTCTTGCTGAAACAAAAAAGACAGGACTATGCAGCACTTTAAAGACTAACAAGATGGTTTATTAGATGATAAGCTTTCATGGGCCAGACCCACTTCCTCAGATCAAATTGTGGAAGAAAATCGGCATGACCATATATACCAAAGGGATACAATAAAAAAAAGTGAAAACATAAAATTGACAAATCAGACTTTAGAAGGAGGGGGAGGGAGAGTTAGTGTCTCTGAGATGATATTAGGGGTGATAATTGGGGAAGCTATCTTCGTAATGGGTAAGATAATTAGCATCTTTGTTAAGGCCCATTTAATGATCACCAAAACATGCTTTTGTAAAAACACAAACAAAAACAATTACATATTCACTTCTCCTCTTATCCTGGAGATTTACCTGCACCATTCTGAGCTCCTCAGCAATGGCCTCATAAGCTTGTTCATTCATCTCTGGAGGAACTGGCTCATTGAAAATATCATCCACCATCTCTCCTGGACTCTGAATGTTTATGGAATCACACACCAAAATTTCAGGGCTTATTCGTGGCACCAGACGAGACCTTAGTTGATAAGCCTTCGTTGGAGTAGTCATGTTCTGTTGCAGAAATTTTGAAGTATGCATTAATTTAAGTATAAAATAGTCACAAGTATAAAATAGTCACAGATCATAGTTAAGGCTAAGATTTTGACACGGGTATTTTTAATAAAAGTCAGGGACAGGTCACGGGTTTAAAAAAAAAAAAAAGAATCACAAAAGCCCTGTGACCTATCCCCGATTTTTATGAAAAATATCAATGACAAACTAAGCCATTGGGCGGCTATGGGGACTGGCTGGGAGCCACCAATGGGGCTTGGAGCTGCAGGGTCCTTCCACCTAAGGTGGGTCAGAGTTTGGAGGGGGAGTGCGGAGACAGCTGCTGCTTCAGGTGGCAGGGGTATCTTACAGATGCCAGTCTCTGCAGGCAGTGGCAGAACCCTGCAGCTCTAGTTGAGTATCAGAAAGTATTTCAGAATAAAAGGTTGAAATGAAGCTATCAGTTAATCACATAGTGAGCTTATATACTAAAAAAACTTCTTAAGCAAAGGATTTCACATTCTGATTTTTACTAAAGAAAGCTTTTGTTTCTTCCAACTCAGATGCAACTATATAGGGCTATATTTACAACTTCTCATTAATAGATTCACATACCATAATAGTTTCTCTGTGCATTTTATTCAGCTGAGAGACTTCAAGACGTTTGTGTGCTTTGGTTGCCTCCAAAATATTTTCAAGATGCTTGTTTGCTTTCTGAAGGGACTGAAGTTCTGATTCCATTTCAAGATGCTTTTTCCTGTTTAGATACAATTTTACCACAAAGGCCAGAAATTAGCATGTACTGACAGTAAATTGCTGAAAACAATTAGATATTTTGATGCTTGGATGAACGTATTTCAGTTTTGAGACTATGCTATTTATAGAATCAGTGGATCCTATTAAGAGTATTAAAAGCTGCTGTGATCACATAATTAATTATATGCACACAAACATAGCCTTAAAATGGAAAAATCACTTCATTCTTCAGCAACACCTGAGTTTCAGAGTTTTGTTTTCTCTAAAGAGCAGATCACATCACCCATGCCAAAACTTTAAGCATTAATGTTATCTACAGTTGCATGTGAATCAGAAATTTGAATTGAAGCTTGACAAGATTAATATAAATCTCTAAACAGGCCTGCCAACAGGGACACTGCTATTGTGGCAGTAGCCACACTTTTCAAAATAGAGTACACTTCCTCTGACTTCCCTTACTCCTCGTACAATGAGAATTCCAGGAGTAGGAGTAAGAAGTCCTCCAGCTTGACAGTATTTCAACATTATTTCAAAATAACTGCCTGCTGTGTAGATGAGGGCTAAGTTATTTCCAAATAAGGTACTCTGTGGATGTACCTTCAGAATTGCTATGGGAGGTGCACTCGTTGCTTTCTGATTACTTTCAATTATAGCACCTAAGAACTGAAGAATCCATAATCATCGGTCACTTCTGAAAACCTTGGTCATAAAAACAAGTTACAGATACTGAAAAGAAAAATGAGTTGCACGGCAGAGAAATGTGTTAAGACAGTCACAGCAGCAGCATTTCTTTTTATTTAAATGAATGAGACTACAGTATAGAAATTGGGACAATCTTTTTCTGGGAGAGAGGAAAGGGGGCCAATTGAATTAAGTGTGTTACCCAGACAAATTATCAAAATTTCCTTTCTCCAAACTCAGTTAATTTTTTTGCATTGCAGAAAGTTAAAAATAATCTCCATGAAAAAAAAACAATGACAATGAACTCATCCCTCTTTTCAAGTGGACTTCTACAATACAAAACAGGATTTGGGGAAACTGCACATCATAAAGATCTTCTCTGCAGAGGATCCCTTTATCCCAATGTGAAGAACCATTGCAGGGTGTGTCTCCAACTATACAAGACTAACGTGATGTCTACAGACATGCTCAAGGGATTGTGATGATATGAAGGCAATTATATTTTCCTTTCCCCGCCTCACTCTGGCTCCCCCCAGAAGATAAAGTTTACTTGGGCAATATTCTAGGTTTAAGATTTGACCATAACAGGATACAAATACATGTGTATTCTAGCAAGATATATTTTGCAGAAGAATATTAGTTTAAAACATTGCTACATTGTTTCCTCTTACTTGGTTAGCTCTTTAAATTCTTCATATTCTTGTTTTGAACCTGCCAGTTCACTCTGAATATGCAGCAGGCGTGCTTTCAACCTTTCAAAAGACACCAATGAATTGTTTTCTGTTGATGCAGTAGTGGAATACAACTGATGACCTAACAATCAAACAGACACCCTTGAAAATCATCCTGAATAAATAAGAATCGTAAGCTCTATCAACAAAGCAAGAGCAAGTTATTTAACATTCCAGCAACTTAGACTAATTCAAATGTACACTAAAAATAGTCTACATGATCACTGAACACTTTGTAATTTTTATTATTTGTATTATTGTACAATCTAGTCATGAAGCTCAATTCTACTGTTAGATGCTGTGAAAGCAAAGAAGAAAAAGGCAGTTCATGGCCCAAAGAGATTGTAAAAATCTAAACAAACAAAAAATTGATACAGACTAATGGAATGAACAAGAAAACAGACAATATTAGTCAGTATAAAGACAATGATTACAGCATACCAATGGTTTAACATTTTCAATTTTTTGTACAAAGGATGAAGTAGAAAACAAATATATATTAGAGGTTGGCCCTTCCTTGTCTGGCACCCTCAAGACCTGCGCAGTTCTGAACAGGGGAGTTTGCCAAACCAGGGGATGTCAGGCCTGGGGCTTTCCCAGGACTCATCTCTTGCCTGCCAAGCTCTGCCAGCATGCTGCCCCTGGCAGTCCTGGCTCTGAGCCTCCAGCAGCTGGCCCTGCTCCAGCTTCAAGCCCACTGGCCAGGCTTTCTGCCCTCAGGATACTGGCTTTGCAAGATGCCAGACTGGCTCAGCTCTCAGCCCCTGGCAACGTCTGTGGCTGGTGGTCTCTGATCCAGAAACATCTGCAGCCCTACCAGACTATAGATGTTGCTGGATGAGAGTGTCACAGACCAAAAGAGGTTCAACCCATACAAGCTACTAGGGCTGTAAAAATGCAATTAAAAATTGAATCATGTAAATGTTAAAAATCATAGAGGTTACAGGCTCTGCAGTATAAAACTTATTTAAGCTTCAGTAAAGCCTCCCCAGGAGTGGGGCTGGCAGGGGCTGCTGCTGGCCCTGGTCCCAGAGAGGAGGCTTTGCTGTGCGCTTTGCAGTGTAACCTACAACAGAGCGGAAGGGGGAGGAATGTGGCCAGGCATGCCATGGACAGGGGATGCTCCGATGGCCCCAAAGCAGTCCCCTGCCCAGACCCATAGGCTACGTCTACACTGGCCCCTTTTCCGGAAGGGGCATGTAAATTTCAGCAGTCGTCGTAGGGAAATCCGCGGGGGATTTAAATATCCCCCGCGGCATTTAAATAAAAATGTCCGCCGCTTTTTTCCGGCTTTTAAAAAAGCCGGAAAAGAGCGTCTAGACTGGCCCCGATCCTCCGGAAAAAGTGCCCTTTTCCGGAGGCTCTACAGACCCAACTCCCTCAGCCTCTCCTCTTCAAAGAATAAGAGCCTCCGGAAAAGGGCACTTTTTCCGGAGGATCGGGGCCAGTCTAGACGCTCTTTTCCGGCTTTTTTAAAAGTCGGAAAAAAGCGGCGGACATTTTTATTTAAATGCCGCGGGGGATATTTAAATCCCCCGCGGATTTCCCTACGACGACTGCTGAAATTTACATGCCCCTTCCGGAAAAGGGGCCAGTGTAGACGTAGCCATAGTGGTTAACCAGAACTGGTAAGTCTTTTACATCCTTACAAACTACTATACAGTAACATAACATGCAATGAAAATGGGCACTTTCAAAGAATGTTTTAACACTACCATGTGGTAAAATAAAATGATGAAAAGTTAAAAATATAAGTTTTATGAAATTGTTTCACATTCTCAGCTTAAGTTTTTCATTTTAAAAATACTATACTGGGGGGCTGTGCCCACTGCTTACTATGCTTGCCAACCCTCCTCCCACTGGCCGCTTTTGCAGCCAGAGAGCTATTAATCTTGCACTGAGCCCAGCTGCACTCATCACGGCCCCAAGTTACTCGCACCCTTCTTCACTCATGCCCACCACATTCCTGGACAGATCCTTCTATGTGAACACTCTAAGCCCATCCTGTCCTCTGGTGCCCTTCAATTGCTAACCAGCCCCTCACCGCACTCTTCCCACTTCTGCACTACCTGCCAATAAAATAGTTCATTCATGTGCAGAGTTCGGAGCCTCTCCTGGAAGCTAGCAGAGGACTACGGAGAAGTGACTAAGTGATGTTACATTTAGATTAATCAAATAGTCGATGGGATTTCCATTGACTCTTTGAATGGTCTATAAGGGCGTCTTGCCTTTGAACTATAGTAAAAGTCCTGCCAGGCTCTTGCTACAGTTCAAATGGGGAAGTCCTGCAGGAAGCATGGGGTTTCCTTTTGAAATATACAAGATCCCCCCTGGGATCTTGCACATTTTAAAAGGAAGCAGCAGGGAGCACAGGATGCCGCTGGCCCCACATTCTCTGCAGCACCTGAGCCTTTGAAATGTACAAGGTCCCCACACTGGGACTTTTGTACATTTCAAAAGCAGAAGCCCTGCAGGGACTACACTTTGTGGCACCTGAGCCTTTGAAAGGTACAAGAGCCCCGTTAGGGCTTGGCCCCACATTCTCTGCAGCACCTGAGCCTTTGAAATGTACAAGGTCCCCACACTGGGACTTTTGTACATTTCAAAAGCAGAAGCCCTGCAGGGACTACACTTTGTGGCACCTGAGCCTTTGAAAGGTACAAGAGCCCCGTTAGGGCTTTTGTACATTTTAAAAGCAGAATCACAGCAGAAATGACGCAAGTGAAGACTGCTTCAGTCCCCGCTCACACCGTTTCCATTGTATCTCTACCTTCCCTGCCCCCAGTGGAGACAGTGATTGGGGGGGGAACTGGCTCTTAAGCGGCTCCCCCCAACCCTGGCTCCTGCTCCCGCCACCCCCTTGCTGAACAATTAATTGCATCACTAGTCAACTATCCAATGAGCTTCTGCCTATTGGATAGCTGACTAGTCTCTTACATCCCTAGAAGTGACTTGTCTGGAAAGGCTATGCTCTGAGGGCCTCACGTGTAAATGAAAACCAAATACCATCAGTAAAATGGGGCCCAACTCCCAAGGCATCCCCTTCATTCTGGGTGCTCCTAGGCACTCTGCTTGCTAGCAAGGAGCAGGGGATGGGTTATGTGCGAGTGGCCAGGTAGAGAGAATTCCCTGCTCTCTGCACTCGGTTACTGCCCATCTTTGCAGGACAGCAGCACTCTATGTGCCCTTCCAGCTGGCAAGCCAGCTTCTTCCATAGGACTAAGACATGCTCCGTGCGGACAGGGTGCAAAGGAGAGACATGGAACCATGGAGGAGCTCCCAGCTTTCCGTGCCCACGTCCTACTGAGAACCAAATTTGGGTCACACAGGAAGAGAACCCAATGGGGTAATCTGGGCCACCCACAGCCCACCCCCCTTCTTCTATCACTAGCCCCACACCTCTGTCCTCCATTTCTACACTCCCATTCCCCTGCCTGCATTCCTACACCCACCATCCTTCCTAACGCCTCCCCACACTGCCCATACCCCCCTCCTTCCATCCCTACCTCCATCTCAATATATAACCATGCTTCCTAACCCCTCCCCCTTCCGGACTGCCTATCCCTACCACCATTTCCTTCCTCCATTCTTACACCCCTGTCGTTCCCTAGCCCCTCCCTTTGGCACCCCCACACTGCCCATCCCCCTGCCTCCATTCCTATATCACCCTCACCCCCACTATCTCCCTTACCGCACTACCCATCCCCCCACATACACCCTATCCCCCTTTCTTCTCTTCTTACACAAACCCTAGCTACTCCCACAAACGGGCAACATAACCAACAAAGAAACAGCTCCAGACCCATATGCAGGAATTTCAGGGGTTTACGCGCTCTTTTTGTAAATGTGGACTGCAATTTTTTTTAAATAAAGGAGATCAAAATAGTCATGAAATAGATGTGCATAAGAGAGGTTAATTTAAAAATATGAGTGGTGACATCAAAGAAAGTTAGTCTGAATTTGTAACTCAAGTAGATCCTGGCCTCTACATGTGAAGGTGAAACCGAGGAGGGATGTTCTGGGTGCTGTGACAACAGGATTTGGGCAGCTGCCTGGAGAGAAAGGGCAGCAAAGGTGGCATTGCTGCGGTGCTGGAAAGCAAAAAAGGGGGATGTCTGTGGGCAGAGGAAAAGGAAAGGAGGTAGAGAAAGAGGCTGGAGGGAGGGGTGCCTTTGGGATGCCAGGTTGAGAAGGGGAGGGATGGAGACTGGCTGAGCACTTGGGAGGATGGAAAGAGGGGGCCACGCAGTGAAGGGGTCTATGGGTGCCACCATGCAGAGGCAGGCACCCCCTCGCTACTGCACCCCCACTTGGCCGTGATGGCAGTTGCTGTGGATACTGTTGTGCCTTCCCTCTGTGATACCACAGGAGTTGTTGCTAGGCTGGGGGTTCCACTCGGACGACTCAGTGCTGGGCTCAGGATGCAGCCAATTAGGGTACAGCAGAGAATGGGGTGGCAGGTGGCTGGGGATGTGGGGCGCAGAGCAACCCCATGGGTTGGGGGGGCTAAAAGCCCCCACATGGGAGGAGCACGGACTTGCTGCTCCCATCCCTATGCAGCAAGCAAAAGCTTAGCATGCCCCACAGGCAGCCGCCAGAAGAGGACATGGTGCAGTGGTTGCTTCCTCTGAGCAGGGGGCTGCCAGAGCCAGCCCAGCATGCAGCCAGCATCTCCCCCCTTGGCCACCATGCCCCACGCCACTTCCCCGGGGGTCTGCTCCCTCATGGCACCTTAAGGCCCTCTGGCTGCCAGAGAGGCCCTCAATGTCTCTAGGTCCAGCTGCCCCAAAGCCTCTATCTGGGGTCTCCCTGCAAGCAATGGCAGTGGTGCTGCCATAGCCCCATTACCTGCAGCAGGCTGATCTGGAGCGGCACTCAGGCCTTGGATGGAGTCACTCCCTGCCCTGGACACTGTTCAGGGACCAGCAAAGCTACTTGATAACCCAACCTGGGCAGACTCCCTCTCCCAAGGATCCTGCTCGCTCAGATCTGGCTACACAAAAGACTGCAGCTAGAGTTGAGTGGGCAGGACCCTTGGGAGGGGGAAGTCTGCCCAGGTCAGGCTACCACACAGCTTAGCTGATCCCTAAACAGAGTCCAGGGCAGGGAGTCTGTGTGAGGACAAAACCTGTGGATGTAGGGGGACATGATGACATCACTCTGTTATCCCACAGGAACAACATTTTTATATATAGAGAGAGGTGAATTTAATAAAGAAGAATGTTTAACTGTCAAATTCATGATTACCAGAAATACTGCCACCTACGATATTTTAAGTGCTAATGAAAATATGTAGGGTTTTTAAAAAATACACTATAAAATGAGCATTAGCTTATGAAAGGAATATTTCATTGTGCATTTTTACCTCCATGATTTTTCTCTGTGGCTGAAGCATCCAAGAAAGCTTTTTCTAGTTCTGCAATGGTGTGAGCATCAATTTCTTGAGCCCTTTTCACTGACTGTAAGGAACGAAGTCGTTTGTTCTCCTCTCTGAGGCTGTGATTTTCCATGGCATATTTAGCAATTCGTGGGTGTTGTTCCATCTATACACACGTGTGAGATGCGGATACATGAAGTGTTGCAAAAAAGCAAAGTAGATTACAAAAAAGGCCATTTCACAGAGGATTCTGTATACAGGGCCCCCAATCTGGTCATTTTTCACAAGCATTAAATCACAAGGAAAAGAAAAGGAGGACTGTTCAGATTTCTTAAAGAGATGGCAACTGGTTTTATTATTTCACTGGAATTTATTCCCAAAACATATATACACGAATAAGTAATTATTAGGGCTGTCAATTGACGTGTGTTAACACCTGTGATTAACGCAGTCCAGGATTAACATGTTACATTTTTAATGCATTAATTGCAGGCTTTAATGCTGTGTTGCCCCTTTGAAGTGCCGCTGCAGCGCTTCAAAGAGGCAGCGCAATGCAGAGCCCAGGATCAGCTGAGGACTCCCCAGCTGACTCCGGGCTCCACTGCCCCTTTGAAACACGAAGAGGCGGCATTTCAAAGGAGCAGCCGTCTCACAGCTGAGCCGGGGATCAGCTGTACAGTGGCCACCCTTAGAAATGCCACCTCCGCATGTTTCCAACGGGTAGTGGAGCCTGGGGTCAGCTGGGGAGGGCCTAGCTGATCCCAGGTTTTGTGGAAATGCGGTGCAAAGCCCCAGCTGAGCCCGGGATCCAGGGCTGCCCCTTTTAAATGCACATGGAGGCGGCATTTTAAAGGGGCAGCAGCAGCACAGCATTTCCCCAGCTGCCCCTTTGAAATGCCAGAGGCAGTGTTTTAAAGGGGCAGCCATGGAGCCCGGGGTCACCTGGGAGTCCCCAGCTGATCCTGGGTTCCCCGTGGCAGCAGAACCCAAGGATGGCTGGGCACTCCAAGGCTGATCCTGGGCTCTGTGTTGCGCTGCCCCTTTGATATGCAACCACAATGGTTCAAAGGGGGCAGTGCTGCATGGAGACTGGGATCAGCTGGGGACTCTAGCTAATCCCAGGCTCCATGCAGCGCTGGCCCGTTGAAACACCCATGGTGGCGTTTCAAAGGGGAGGCGCACGCAATTAATCACGATTAAATTTTTTAATCACTTGTCAGACCTTGTAATGATTAAGGGATTAATTATTCAATTTTTTTTTTAAACATTCTTGCTATTGCAGGAGGCAATTTTAATCCTGATCATTACATATGAGCTTCCTCCTCTAGAAACATTAGCATCACAATTTAGCTTGGAATATGTAAGCTTGCCTATAAAATTATTCAAATAGCCTATCTTTCTGTTCTATTTTTAAAACAAAGCTGAGCTTCCTAACTGCAGCGATAAGAGCTTTCATTAGCATGAGGAAGCCTAACAGTGATTTAAACCAAACAGCAGTAAGTATAGTAATTTCAGTTTAGAGAACTGGGTAGATTGTGCTCAGAAGTTTACCTTTTGAACTAAAAGCCAACAGCTATCAAGGTCAGATGTATTATCTTTAAATAATAAAGAAGTTTGTTCTGTGTGTGTTGTTCATTAACTTCATGAGATTGTTTAGATATGGACCAATGAGTAAAAATATGTACCTGTTCTCTCAGTGACCGCAATTCCTCCCTCAGTTCATTGATGAGCTCCTCCTGCTCTTTAGGCATTAAACTGCCACAAGCATCTTTGTGTAATCTCTCCAGACGAACTATATGGTCTTCACGGAATTTAACTATCATTTTATTGGACTGAATTAATTTCTCCTTTTTGCCACAAAGATCTTCTAGTTGAGCAACTTTTTCTAACAAAGTCTTAAAACAATAAATGCATTGATTTAGTAGTGGGAAAGGGGGGAAGTGACAGTGGCAATCTCCAAAGAAAAGACATTGAGATATATCTCACAGACAACTTATATGATACTATAAATAATGATCTACCATTGGAGATATTAAAGAGCAGGTTAAATAGACATCTATCAGGGATGATCTAGATGGTGCTTGGTCCTGCTGCGAGGACAGCGGACTGGATTTGATGGCCTCCCAAGGTCCCTTCCAGTTGTAGTATTCTATGATTCTATAACAATATTTTATGCACAAAATAAAAAAATATTTTATTACCCCATTTTTAAGTGAAACTGACCTTGGGTACGTCTACACTACAGCGCTAGTTCGAACTAACTTAGTTCGAATTAGTTAATTCGAACTAAGCTAATTTGAACTAGCAAGTCCACATTGAGTGGACTCTGAACAGGGCTTAAGGATGGCCGGAAGCAGTGCCGGCAGGGCATAAGAGGAGGACTTAGAGCATGGAGCTGCTGTCTCAGGCTAGCCGAGGGCTGCGCTTAAAGGGTCCCGACCCCCACCCCGGACACACAGTTCTAAGGGGTGCCCCGCTTGCAAAGAAGTTCTGGCTTGGAGTGCCCGGAGTACCCACACTGGGCACATCACACCACTCGGCCATCAGCCCGGCTGCACTTGCCGCAGGCTGCCAACTGGGGAGAGGGGGCAATTGGGGGGCTGCAGGAGAGCTTTCACCCCCAGAAGCCCGCAGAGCCAGCCCAGTCCTCCCCATCGGGGGCTCGTACCCCATTCCTCCCTCACCTCCTTCCACTTACCCTTCCCTAGCCCCCCTTCTTATTGATGTACAAAATAAAGATAACGTTTCTTCCAACATTGACTCTGTCTTTATTGAACAAAACTGGGGGAGACTGGGAAAAGGAGGTGGGAGAGGGGAAGAGAAAGGCTGGGAGAGGGGAGGGCAACTAACATGATCAGGGGTTGGGAACAGGTCCCAGATGAAGAGAGGCTACAGAGACTGGGACTGTTCAGCTTAGAAAAGAGGAGACGGAGGGGGGACAGGATAGAGGTCTCTAAAAGCAGGGGTTGGGTGGAGAGGGTGCATTCAGAAAAGTTCTTCATGAGTTCCCATAAAGAAGGACTAGAGGACACCAAAGGAAAGGAATGGGTAGCAGGCTTCAAACTAGTAAGAGAAAGTTGTTGTTCACAAAGCAAATAGTTAACCTGCGGAACTCCTTGCTGCAGGAGGCTGTGAAGGCTACAACTAGAACAGAGTTTAAAGGGAAGTGAGATAAAGTGATGGAGGTTGGGTCAATGGAGTCCTATTAGCCAGAGGGTAGGAGTGGTGTCCCTGCCCAAAGTTTGTGGAAGGCTGGAGAGGGATGGCACGAGACAAATGGCTTGGTCACTGTCTTCGGTCCATCCCCTCCAGGGTCCCTAGGGTTGGCCGCTGTCGGCAGACAGGCTACTGGGCTAGATGGACCTTTGGTCTGACCCAGGACGGCCATTGTAAGCTCAGGGCTCAGGGTCGGGGGTCTCAGTGGACCCCCTTGATTTTCATGCACACCTGGTCCTGGGTGGCCAGGCTGGCAGCTCTCCTGCCCTAGACGGCCACTTTCCTGTGCCTAGTGCGGAGATCGTGGACGAGGTCCACGATGTCCTCACTAGCCCAGGAAGGTGCCCTCCTCTGGGGGTGGGCTGGGGGGCATCGGGTGGGTGGCTCTGTGCCGTGCCAGGTGCAGGGTCTGCTAGCTGGGTGCTGGCAGGCTTGCACCTGGCACGGGCACCGTAGCCAGCCCGTGCCCCTTTAAGGGGTCCGGGGCCGGGAAGGGGGCATAGAGTTTCCCTGGTGTTGGCCAGAGTGGCCACCAGGGAAACCTGGGGAGGGCTAGCCTCCCATTAGTTCGAATTAAGGGGCTACACACCCCTTAATTCCAACTAGCTAGTTCAAACTAGGCTTAATCTTCGTAAAATGAGGTTTACCTAGTTTGAACTAAGCGCTCCGCTAGTTCGATTCAAATTCGAACTAGCAGAGCACTAGTGTAGCGCCTATTAAAGTTAGTTCGAACTAACGTCCGTTAGTTCGAACTAACTTTGTAGTGCAGACATACCCCTTGTGATTAAATTTGGATGTTATCTTTAAAATTCACAATTCTATTAGTTTATAATATCTCCTTCCGATAACTACACTTTGCTGTCTTTACAAGCCAAACTTTTTCTTGAATAATGCAGGACAATCTCAAATATAGTGAGCTTCTACAGATTCACTCAACCTTGGCTTTAATAAAAAAAAAATAAGCAGAACATGCTGCAAAGGTGGCAGTGAGTTCTTACCTTCTTTTCACTTTCAGATTTCTCCAAGAACAGCATTGCCTCAAGAAAGTAGTTCTTGTAATTTCTATTTTCCTCACCTTGTCCAAGAGCAGATTAATAAAAAGTTAAAAAACAATGCACCATATTAAGATGCAATAAATTTCCTTAATGTTTAACAGTGTTTATAATACTTTTTTCCCCGAATATTTTACTGAACACCACAGGTATGGACATATTTACATTATAATTATATACACCCTCTAATTATGCTATTAGAATCTGTCAAATTATGAGATATAAAACTTTACTCACACAACTTTATGTACAAAGTTCCACCAAATGAATAAAGGTGTTTTTAATTTAGTTTAAAAGTGTGTTCAGCTAAGGAAGTATGCAAAATGTTGAATTGACGTTTTTAGCTTATAATATCGAACTGGCATTAATATTACACGAGGTCCATAATAAAGTGGATTATTATAGATATTTATAGAATACCAATCAATATAATACCTAAAATGTAGAATAATCATCGCATTATGATTAGAGCTGAGTCAATAATTGATTTTTCAACTTGTGGGACAAAAATCAAATAATGTGAAAATAATCTGGTTTGACCAATTTTTAAAAACATTTTTCTTTCAAATAAAAAACCCCCCCCCCCCCCAAATCAGAGTGTTTCAAGTTGGTTCAAAATGAATTTTTCCCCAATTTTGATTAGTTTAAAGTTAAGGCAAAACATTTTGGTCAGTTTGAAATAAAATCTTTTAGTGTTTCTCATTTCATTTTGGCCATTTCATATATTTTCAGTTCATGTGTTTTTTAGTATATTGAATCAATTTTAAATCAAAATGCCATTTCAAACTGAAAACATTTCGAAATCAAAGCTAAAACAAACGATAAAAGAAGTTTTGCCTAACACATAGTACACAGTATGGAAAGAGCAAAATGAAAACAAACGATCATTAAATTAACACAGATTCCTGCAAAATTAAACACATTTGCTATTTACAATTGTGTAAAAAGTATGTTGTATCTAAAATTGTAATCCTTAAGGAATACAAACTGAGCAGTGCCATTTACTCAGAAAGTCAATAATACAACACTTTAAAAGCTCCTTTTTGCTCTAGAATACAGGAGCTTTCTGTTCTTTTGTTTCTCCTACCTGTTGTAATAGAAATATCCTGGGTAAACTGTCCTAAAGTAAGTTGAGCAATCTGCTCTTTCAATTTCTTCACTTCAGCTTGGAGTTGGTTCACATTCCCTTGGGTGTCTTCATTTATCACAGCCTTTTGTAGACATTTTAAAAGAAAATATTAAAAGCAATAAAAAAAACTTAAAGATCATATTTTTAATGTGAAGTAATCTATCCTCAAGGTAACAAGAATCAAACATAGGAAAGCAATAGATAACTGACTATACTGCTATCAATTTTAAAAGAGAATCTTTGGAAAGAGAATAAAGCTCATGAACACTTGAACATTTAGTCCATGGTTTAGTGAATTAAAATATAATCCTGAAAATTTTAGGCTAAACAAAGACTAACAGCATATAACAGACTACATATGTGCAAAATCAGAAGCCAGCCAATATACTTACAGCCTATTCAAGATGCAGAAAGAGCTAAAAAGTTACCTCGCATTTGAACAGGTGGAAGTATGTTTGGATAAAAACAATTATCTTGGTAAAACAAAGTATTACAAAGCTTTAAAACAATCAGAAAACATGTAAAGTTTTGTTTACATTTACTCATTTCAACTAATTGCTACAGACAAAGGAACAAATATCACATGAAAAACAAGGAGAGCAAGTGGTGCATTTCCATTACACACACACACGCCCCGGAGAGACTCAGCTGGCCAGGTTCAGAAGCTGGGATTGGCATCGGGGAGCACGGGCCCAGCAGGGTTCGTGTGGTGGGGAGCACAGCTTAGGCCAGAACTGACGGCAACTATTGCAGTGCCAGTGGCCAGAAGTGCAGTCTTGGCTGGGGCTGGCACTGTGTGGGGGAGGGTGCAGTCCCGGCTGAGGTTGGAGTCAGCAGGGCTGGCACCATGGGCATACAGCCCCAGGAGGGGCTGATGCAGTGGGAGATGCAGCACCAGCCAGGGCTGGCACCGTGATGGGCTAAAGGCAGTGGGGAAGGTGGCAGGGAGTGCAGCCCCAGCCAGGAGCAGAGTCTAGAGCCAGGTACGGAGCCATAACCTTCTCTGGTCCAGCAAAGTCCGAGGCCACATGTACACTCCCGGTTTTGCCAGCAGCGAATATGCAAATGAGGTGCAGATTAGCATACCACCATGCCTCATTTGCATAATGCATGCAAGCCATTTTTGCGCAAAGGGTTTTTGTGGGGAAAAAAAGTAGTGTGGACTTTTTTTTGGTGCAAAAATCCCGTTTTCCGCAAGATCCTTATGCCTCTCCCACAGAGGAGCACTGCTGACTGAATCCAAGCTGAAACACCCCTCCCTCCTTTTGCAGGGACACCAGTAGGGGCTGAGCAGAATCCCCTGCACCTTCTTCCCCCACAGGAGCTGCCAACTGGGGTTGGACAGCATGGCCTCAGGTAATCTCTGTCACTGGAGCAGCACTGCCATTTCTGGTGAGCCACCTCCAGATCTCCTTGCCCTTGACCCTCCACATCGCCCCGACCCAAGCAATGCTAGCTAAATCTTCTAATAGAATATAAACTTGCAGAAAAAGTGAAAATTAAATTAAATTTTTCAAGAAAGTCAGTTTGTTATTATAAGCCCAAACAATCAAATTTGATTGTCATTTGAATTAACACAGTAAACAAAAATGTTTCATAAAAGTGAACTGGTTCACATATAATATAAATGACAATTAAAGTCATGATAGGAAAAATATTATTTTTTTACCTTGTTTTTAATTAACTTTGCTCGTTGAGCAAAATTAAGAGTAGACAGAGTTTCACCAAAACATCTAGATCCAGGATGAACATTTGCAATTATGCATGTTTTTGCATTACCTCCAAGAGAATCCTGTTTGAAAAATACGAAAATTGGCTTAAATTACAGGATTGTGATTCGAGCTAGAAGTTAATATTTCTTCCACAAGTTGTCTCGTATGCAATTTTAGACTAGAATAGATTTGCCTGAGAAATCTATTAATTTATGAAGCTTTATTTCAAAACTGATCCTTAAATGAATTTGCAGTTTACCTTTAATAGCCCTTCATACAATGAGAGATAAGAATTCTGAAATCCAATAGCGTGTAGAAATTGATTTTCCAGCAAAGTGAAAACAAGCAGCCCAGTTTTACAGAACTGAGCTCAGTTTCT